GATGTTATTCTCACCGCTTGAATTCCGATCGTAACGTATCCTGTCGCAACTCAAGCAAATGCCTGCAAAGCAGATAATAAGTAGATTGTGTATACATAACAGAAAATATTTTGGGTATATGTATGTATCTAATCCTACTTAAGAAGTGTTGGTATGGTTGGAGATCATTGATACCAAATTCCATTCACTTCTGGGTACTCCCTTCATAGATATGTACATATGTACCTACGAGAAAGTGCTACAGCTAAAAGCTCTCACATCACACTGAAGTCAACTAGAAGTGGTGATCTTCTGGCCTATTTTGACGTTTACCGCAAATTGGAAATTTGTTTCGTCCGACAGAAATGACTGGATCTTAAAATCTTTCTTAGAGATTATGAGATCCCCAGGTGACTCCAAAATTGGCATTGTATCAGGGTCTGGCGGCAGATTACTACAGCGTATTCCAAGCTGAGATATATGCAATTTAAATGGCGGCGAAACTGGAAAGCGTGGTCGTTATAAGCACTCAAGCTGCGATCAAGGCACTTGCGGCCGCTGACGACTAACTCGTCATGCGTTCAAAAATGCTGAAGATCCATCATTTCGGCATCATAAGTAGAGTCAATCTAGAGATCAGAAATTTAGAAAGCAGATGAGTGTGCCAGAAAGGAAGTTCAGATAAGATTAACTGAAGTGCGTCAAAGCATACAACCTCCCTTTCGATTCCTTTTTTCACAAGCTGAGGAGATGGCTAGAGCAGCTGGTTATAGTACGAGGACTAATATGCAAAAAAGTACTGTATCCACTGATGTTTACCACTGCTGAATTAACGAGAAACCGAGTTTGCTAGGTTCCTTTTACAGTGGATCATTGGTCAGATGGTCGCCAGGGTTGGAGCCCCATATAACGATTTCTGTAGAATTTTAAATGAGCACAAATTGCTGAGTTAAGATGGAACTACCCATTAGCTTGTAAAACTGTAAGACATATCTTGCCATACTAAGAAAAAGCGACCACTTAAGACGACCTCTTAAGGTAATAAGAAATGAGTTCGTTAAGTTAATAGCCAAGACTGCAGGTCACGGACCCTTTGGTGAGCATGCAGCTAGGATGGACGTCGTGTATGACCCACGGTGCTGTAGCTATAACTTCGAAGAAAGTAAGGAAACAATCCTACATTATCCTTGCAAATATCCAGCACTGTCCCGTGAATCGAAACAAGATTTCTAAATGCGCTATTACTAACATATGTACAGTGCATATTTTAAGATGTTCCCGGAACGCTGCTACCAACTAAGCAACCAAATATGAAAAGTGTAATGCGCTACACAGAAGGCGCTTCTAGTTTCTGGGGTACCAATTCCTCGAGCACTTTGACAGCTCAGAAGGAACTTTTTTAGGGTTTTTACAAGGATTCTACTGAATATCAGGATGTTGTAAAGAGATTTAGGCGAAGGTTTCCGGAAATCCTCTACTGCGCATTGTAATGGGCCTGGCCTTATTGGAGTGTGACATTATTTATTAGTCAGGTTATTGTATGGCTAAACTTGTTGGGCTTTTTCATAGAATTTATTAGTGAGACAATTCTTTAACTAGAACTAAACCAACGACACAGTAATAGCAGCTCAATTCATCTGAACATATACTCCCTTGTGGCAGCAACTTTTCTCATGGCTCATTAATTATATGTATGTATGTATGTCTTAATGGATGCTTATTTTTATATTTTTATACCTTTAGCACTTCGATCAATAACGAATTTCATGATTTCTTAAGATTTCCTCGTACGATATCAATATACATAGATTTTCTTAATAGATCTTCTCATTAACTTCTCGCAATTCAAAAATTATTGTATTCTTCATCGCTTATATGTATGTATGCATGCATATCTTCTCAGATATTTTTTAATTATGCTGCACGAATATCTCATCAAATTTATGTTTTAGCCCATATGTAAATATGTATGTAAGTGTGGGTATTTTCTCATATCAATTAAACGTTAATTATGTGGTAGCATGGCAATGTGGCAATAATTTCAGTCCTTCAATTCTATTATATATTTTTTATGTTTTTTTTTTTTTTCATTCATATAAATATGGTTTCTTTTATGTTATGCTTTTGTTTCTTATTTCTTCTTTATGACTTGCAATTATATTTTTTGTCACATGTATGCGCACAGATATTTAATGGCAACAACATTTCAACTGTTTATTATTTTAATTATATTTGTTAATGTGTGTGTGTGTATGTTTTAATTATATTGTTTAATATACGATTTTTTTTTTTTTTTAATTTTTTGTGTCAAGTTAAACACGCGTGTGCGCTGTCGTATGAGTAACCTCTAACGCTGTATTCATACATACATATATGTAAGTAAGTATGTGTTTAAGTATGTATCAATTAGGTTTCAATTTTATTCCGTTTATTGTTAGGAAGCATTCTCGCTGGTTTATGGTGTCGTTTATAAATACAACAAATATTTGTTTCTCACTAAATCTCTCTCACCCTCAATCGACATTTGTTTTTGTTTAATTTTTTCTCCTTTTCTCTGCTAATATTAATCTTTCTGCTTCATATTTATTTTTACTGCAATTAAGTCATTGACATTGGCTGCACAAACATAGAGTTGCACATGCAAATTATTGTGCAATACTCTCAAATATTGACATGTAAATCAATTATTCGCTATTAACTGATGCACTAGAAGGGCGGATAAGTTTTATTACTGGTGGGTGATGTAAATATTACTTTTTTGTTTGAAAATTAAAAGTATAAAGATTTATTGCGTATTTAGTAATAATGCAAAACTTTGTAGTTCATTAAACAAGAATATTTGTTTTTTTTTGGTTCCAGTTCAAATTCTTTTACTTTTTTAATTGACAATACTTTCTGTGTTATGGTTTTGAAGTCGTTTAGACGAACGTTGCAAAATTGTATGCGAGTAAAATAAAATAAAGTTCGCATAAGAAATGCGATTAAGCCTCGAAAGATATAAAAAAATTTTACAAATACAAGAATACAAAAATGGTTTATTTATGCCCCAAAATCCAACAAAGGTCATCAAAAATGCTATACCTTAATTGATCCATGTGCAGGTCTTAATAATATATACATAGTTATTTTAATATAAAAAAATTTTCATCCGACGTTTTAAAAACTTTAAATAAAATTTGCTAAAACTTAATGGAAAAAAATACTTTTCCGAAAGGAAGTACATTGAAAAAAAAATCATCTGTACCTGTTCGATCAAATTGTAACCGTTATTTTAATTTTTAGATCACAAAAGACTTAAATCGGACACAACGATTATTTTTGGTTGAAAAAATAAAAATCTCAAAACAACGATAAAATTCGGCCGAAAAAATCCAAACTTAACGATTATTCTTAAATAAAAATCAAAAAAAATGGCATCTCAAACAAACCCCCGAAACTCCCTTAATCTTCTAAAACCTAAGAAAGCTACCGAAATAAAACTCGACAAATCTCAAGAAATATTGGTGAAAAGCTCTAAAAAAAATCCTCCAAAATTGTTTGGAAACATGATATATGTAAGAAAATACTGAAAGGTCTAAAAAAAAACCGAATTTTTCCGAAAATATATTGAAAATTTACGTGAAATACAGAAAATTCCAAATGTTAACATACCGAGATCTTCCGAGAAACCACCTCTAGCCACATTTATGGACAATAAAGCTTTCTGGAGCGCTTTGCTACTCACAGCCAAGGAGACCTTCAAATGCACTTTGTTGTGTTTGAAACCATTCTTTGAGGATCCCGTCATAAAGCTACCGAAATTCTCCTTCAAAAATCCAGGCGTATGAACAACAGCAAAACTCTCACACATAACAGAGTTACCCTTTGGTGGATACCGGGACATGAGGATTTTGGTGGCAACGAAAGAGCTGATGCCCTCGCAAATCGTGGATCCCAAAGGAGCCCATATGGTCTACATTACCTTTCTGTGTCCATAAAAAGGATAACAGCAGAGCTCCAAATAGGAACTTTCAGGTTCTGTGAGTGGAATATATTATGCGACTGCCAATTTACCATAATTCAAAGGACGGAGGTTATTTTCTCCGACTAGAATCTGGGCAGACAGTATCAGTACGAGATGTTTTAAGAACAGAATGAATTCATCAAATAATTAAGATGGTTTATGAGTCCAAAGAGCCTTCAAGGCTTATAAATTAACTCGTTTAGAGCAACTCAAATAATCTTGCACAAGGAAGTGCTCCAATTGAGGTCTACGACCAGAGGAAAATTAAGACAACCCCGGTGGGAATTAGGAGCACGAATAATACCTTATTAGCAACTTACTCTTCACCTGGCAGTCATTACCATTTCCCTGCCGAACGTCCCTTACTTTTACAAAGGCATGGCCGCCTTATGTAACTAGGAATTTAGAATGTACATTTGGTATCAGACATACTTCTGAGCCGCTTTACAAAGTAATTTACGTGTAATGCAGAGCAGTCGCTCGGAGTAGTTCGGTGCTTGGAAATAACTTCGGCTGCACGTTATTTTGCAACTGATAACGTAATGTGTCTTCGGAGGTGTTCATTTTGCCCTTTACTAGTAGATGACATTGGCCATGATGACAATTTTGGTACTAAAAACTGAAAGAAAACATGGCTTACCTCGCAAGGTGCTTACCTATTTTCCCAGTGGGACCTATGAACCAGATCAAAGTGGATATAAATCAAATATGGAAAAAGTGGCAAATTCTATCGAAGAATAGCAAGTCGTTTTTTATAGCATTCTGAAGAAAGCAAACTAAACAAATCACAAAGTATCGAATTATGTATTTCGATGGGCGAATTCCCGAGGTATTGTTTAATCTATGCATTGTGCACCACTTAGCATCATTTCCACTACATAAATTACTAAAACTAGATTGCACACAAAGACTAGGTCTAAGTACTACCGGGACAATTCCGCATTACAAATACTGCATTACAGCTACAACTAAGTTCATATTTACGCTTTACAGTAAGCATTACTAATCTTTGGAGCTTCTAATCGTCATTGAGACCATTCAATTCGACACTCTGCGTCTCCAAGCTACGTTTCAAATCTGCTAGTGTGCTGAGTATCATTTTCTTTTTATGATCGCCATGTGCACTTAAGCCAACACAATCAATATCACCGTTAACAACACTGCCATCAGCCGTTGGCGCAGGCAGTTCCTGACTACTGCCAATCGCATTTAAACGTGGATTAGAGTTTTGCCGCTCACGACGCCGCAAATTATGTATCTTGGCTAGCATCGCTTGTTTGGGTATCTCTGCAAAATAAAAATCAGTAAATAACCAGCTGGCGAACTAAATGGGATCGAAATACATTTCCAAACACTCACCCGCCTCTAAGTCAAAACTCTTTTTAATGCGCTCAAAGGTCGAACTGCCACTATACACTTTCCGCTTCAACGGCTCACTTTGGGGACACGCATGCATTAGGCCCGATTGCCAATGCACCACTGTTTCGCCTACCTTACCCTCTACAGCCGCAACATTGTGATTGCGCAAATCAGCTTCGTTGTAGCGCGAAATGCGCGCAAACTCTGGCAAGTAATTGTGATTCACTGCATCCACCGCTGCAACATCGTTGACCTTGAACTGGTTGTCGCCATTCAGCTGCTGAGACTCCGTGTCTGAATCGCTATCGAAATTTTCTGTTCGCTGCAAGTTGCCACTCTGCTTGTCACGCGACACTGGCGATTGACTACGGAAGCGACGTTGTTGCTGGGGTGTAGCAGTTGGGCTATGCTGCATGCGACGACCATTTAACTGTAGCTGCGGTGATTGTGGCGGTTTCTGTGCGTCCAACGATTTTCGCACCGGCACCTCAGGTGGCACATTCTGATTGATGAAATTCGTCAAGTGGGTTTTACGTGGACTGCAGCGGCTGAAGCGTGGACTATTTGGCGCAGAAGCTGGTGCATGTCGCAGTAGATCTATACGGCGATTGATGGCAGCAGCCAACTCTTGTTGCTGCTGTTGCTGTTGGTGTTTCTCCGACTGCGCAGCGTCCAGAGAACGCTGTTGTGCTTGCTTTAGCTGCTCGCGTCGCGTATCAGCCTCACAGTTTTTCAACATTTCCACGCGTTTATTGGCGATCGGATTAACGCGTCGTGGACTAGAAACGGGTGTGTCGCGTGGTATACTAAGGAAATAGGGAGGAAGATGGGGTTATTTGCTAGCATGTTCTCAGCGTATTTAGTACTAACCTCTGCATGCTGTTTTTCATGGAGACGAGTATAGATTCGGCTTCCTGTATTAGCTGCCTGTACTTGACATCTGCCTCCAAGTCTGCTTTCAGTAGCGCACGTTCACTCTCCGCAATTGTCATGAAGCGTTTAGTGTCGCGCACGTCCATAAATACCAGCGAACTGGAGCGATTAGTGAGTGGTGAGGTCTCGTAAATTCTGCAAGGCAAGAAGAAATGTAAAGCACTTAAATCGAGACAGATCTTAAGAGCTGAGGAAAGTCTGATGAGTAGTTAATAACTTAAAAGCTTCTCTCTGTCGCTTTCCCCGAGGCAGCCACTAAGCTCTTCGACAAACACTTTTGCCACTTACCTATTCTTCGCCGTGATATGTCTTTGTCTTCGCACACAAACAGGTGTGCCGCCTACACTACGCGTTTGCCGTGGCTTATGTGGCGAATGAGTTCGATCTGTACGATTCTCAGCACTCTTCTTGCGTGTCTTTAGAAAACGCTTGCGTCGTCGTTGCGAACAACTACCAGGCGCTATCATCGCAGTACCACCAACCTCTTGCGTGTGCTTTGTATTTCGAGAATTTTGACGTGAGCGCACTGAAGCGCGCGTTTCACTGTGCTGACGCACCGTGCCGCGCTTGGGGCTCTGCTTGTAGTAAGAGCAGCTACTCAAATTGCTCTCTAACTCCTTCCGCTCGGACAACTCATGCATAGATGAAGTATCAATGAAATCTATGTCCAATAGCTCATCGGTGTCACACTCATCTCCGGCATCCTGACCTGTGTCCAAGTCTGAGTGACAATCCGTTGGATCCGAATCGCTGCTGCAATAGATGTGGACATTTAAAGAGCCACAAATATAAACATATTTGCATCAAAAAAAGCATGTGTCGTCAACGCACCTCAGTATGTCAGTCTCCTTCTCATACACGTAACTCTCATCAAATTTACCCATCATCTCGTTAAGCGTGGCATCATCGTCACTCGCCACAGCTTCCCTGTTGCTTCCGCCACCAGCACGTTCGCCGCCTATGACACACACACCTGCCAACATCGCAGCCAGCGGCTGTCCCACCTTTGCCTGCAGCTGCTCGGCACGTTTGCGTCGCACAGTGTTGGGCGTGTAGGTCCTTTGCATATTCTCCACTTCAGTCAAGGACGAAGAACTCTCGCTCGACTCATAAGCAGTACCCACCACCAAGCCTCCATTGTGCCTATAAAGTATGTAGCAGTTAAGAATGAAACTTTTTAATTTTTGGCCGTAAACCGTTTGTCCTCTTTTTAAACGTTGAGTAACAACACTCATGTGCAATAAAGCGCAGTGCACTGAAGTATTCGATTGCGCTTTTTCTTTACTTTTACCTTATCCTTTCCTGGCTACTTACTTGTCACTTGTCTGTTGGCCATGTTGCACCACTACCCGGCGTCCATCCGTTGTTGTTGCGTTGCTAGATCTCTTGCCTGAAGAGGATGTGCTTGCGGCATCAAGTTCCCTTCGTCCGTCACCCGCGCTGCCACTTGTCGACGACGTCTTAGCCGGTTTCGGCTGCCGCAATGGCGTGCCTAACGCCTCTGGCGTCATCGTAGAGTGCGCTGACGAGGAAATCGTCGACGTGTCTGAAGTTGTTGACATCGCTGTCGGCGGTGGTTGTGTTGGTGGTGGTGGTGGCAAAAATGCTATCACATTCTGCGCGCTCACGCTTCCCGTTGCTGGTGCATTCGCTTCCATTGTGAGATACCAGGGATTCGTGCGTATGCGACAACGTTGCCTGGGGGAGGGTGCTGCACGTAAGCAGAAGAAGAGATACAAGTTCGCATGATTTAGATTTGTGGAAGGTGGCAGTTGACAATGACATTAAGTAATGATTCGGCTTATCGAAGTCAATGACTTTGTTTATGCTTTTAAAGTCACAACAAAAGGTACTTACATTCAAACCCTTTTAAGGTGGGCAAAACAATGGCATTACGCAATGCCAAAGGACTATGGCGGCCAGGATGTTGTATGCCATGTGGCGCATCGAGTGGTATGAATGGTTCGTGGTGCATGCCGTTGTTGTTGGCACAGCCTTGGCCCATATCATATGAATCGGCACGTTTGTATAGACCGGAGGCATTGGCGAAGGATGTCTTCGGCTGTGGGAAGATGAAAAATACATATGTGGGAATTGAAAGATTGCCTTTTTTCTTGCAATAACAAACAAAACTCTTAAGATTCCAAGACGTTTAACTTTTCTTGCTTTTACCTAAGGAAAATATGTGCATATGTGCAACCGTCACATATAACTTAACGAATGCAGTTTTCATAGATTGGTGGGAAATTCATGTTCAAAATTATAAGAAATATAAAACAGGATGGGAATGTTCTTAGTAATAACAAAGTTATACTCACCTACTATCATACCCACCCACTAAAAAAAAATGCTCTACACCTAGCAAACGGATCAAGAAGTTACGCTGGTAGTCTTTCTTCTAAATCTGTGTTGATCAAAGCCTACATATGTATGCTTGCGAGCCGGAGCTTTTCTGAGCTTTCTCTAACAGCCATACAGCGACCATGACTTGGAAGTTTATACTTTAAGCTTCATAGCAGCTTAGGTAAATGTATTATAGGCGAAACGAATTTATCATCCAAGTAGTAACTAAGTACTTTTTTGATATAAAAAAAAATATCGAATTATGGTATAACTGACCAACATGGTTGCCGCTGTTTGATAAGATTTCGCTCAGAGCTGTATTCAATATCTATCAAAGTGGGAATTTACACATTTCCATGAGTGTGACGCTACTCACACCCACTCTCTGACTTATCGGCTGCATTATTTCCAAGCATACTTGAATTATAATGAGTCCATATTAAATCCACCGAGAGATGGTTAGTGATGCTATTCCACAGTCGTTAACTAAATATGTTTGATTGGGTTCTAAAAGACGCCAGGCCCAAAAAGCAGGTAAGCTAAATCAGAAGTGGGTATTGGCTCCAGAATTTTGTTGAACGACTACTGGAACCGACGCTGCACAGACAGGCGACAGCATTCATAATGGTACTGTAATCTCTTCAATAACTCTCTCCCCGTCAATGCCATCATCTGAATTCAACCGCAATCTGTGGCAGTGGAAGAACTCTAGCTGCATCTCAAGACCAGCATTACTCTGGCACAACTACGGCCTGACTAAAGTCCATGGGAAAGTTCGCAGCATGCGACTAACTTTACACATACTCAACTAACAACCCGTTTGATCAGCACGTTTCTTGGAATGCGTGGTGAGCATTCGTCTTACTTTTTGGGAGTTTAAGAAAACATCAACCTCGACTTTATGCGCCATTTTGGAAACATGGGTAAATAATTTCTGTCGAACTTTGGTGCAAGAATGACCTCGACGGGCTTATAGACGTCTGCTTATGGACATCTTGCTTGATAGAGGTGGTAAAAGCGAGAGATTGATTTCGTGATGCTGCTCCCCAAATCATTGGCCAATAACGAACGATATCTGTGTGCATCCACAGTATTATTATCGAGTAAATACCGTGCGTCTCTCGAAAAAGCCTTGAGAATTCTATGAGACCTAACAGCTATATTGTGCCTTATATTCTTCAGAATTAGACGAAAGTCTAAAATCCCTAAAACCTTTAAAAAGCTTTTAGAGTAGGGTGTATATGTGCTAGTCTCGGTCTGAGTCGAAAAAACGGGTTTTTTAGGAATATCTTTTGAGAATTCTTTAGGATGATACGGAACATACAAATCGAATCGAAATTAACGAGTCTCTTCTAAACTTTTTGAGATTTTCTCGAAATTTTATTGGCATTTTTTCTAGAAGCTTTAACGGTTTTCCATATTTTTTAAACTTTTCGAGAATTGCTTCGGGGTTTAGCGGCTGGTTCTTAGACCTTTTAATATCTTATGAGTATTTTTGAAAAATTCGAAATTTTTTCCTTGTTTGGACATTTTTGAGACAAATCAAAATTTTTGGGGTTTCTTCAAGACTTTTTTGAAATTTTCTTAGTATTTTTTTAAAACTTTACAAGATGTTCTCAGAATTTTTCCGCTATTTCAGACATATTTCGGCAAATTTTGGAGATTATAAGTTTTTCCGACTTGTTTGAAAATTGTTTGAACTTCTCGTAATTTATCCCGTTGTTTTGAAACGTTTCAATATTTTCCGAGAGTTTTTCAGATTTGAGCGGAAATTTCTTGGTATTTATCTAAGACCTTTAGAAACGTTCTGATGCTTTCGAGACCTTTCGGGACTATTTCGGTAATTTTCGTGACATTCCGGAGATTTTTGTCGATGTTTGCTATATTATTTTATGCTGTTTTTTTTTGCTTTTTAAAACTTTACATATTTTTTACGGAGTTTTAAAAGATTCGAGATTTTATTTTTCTCTACATTTTCCCCTAATAATAATAAACCTCTAAAGGCTACTCTTACAGTGGAGTAAGTCGACAGTTAACTGCCGAATGTCAGTTAACTCTCCACTGTGAAAAAGGTACTACATAGTTAAATATGATTTAAATATTTTAAAAATTCTGAATCACTTACCATCGGATCGATCGGTGACATTTCCTCAATTTTGTTCAATCCAAATTTATAACGCTGCGCCTCAATGGCCAGCGAGTTAACGCTCTTCGGAAAGTAATGAGTTCCAGTTCTCATATTGATGTAGTATTCCGGTGGCGTGTAAATAGCGCCTGGCGAAATAAAAAATAAGTATGTTACCAAACTAAATGGACTCCTCCTTTCCTCTGCAGTCTGCTGCCTTACTCACCTGGTGAAGTACCATCGGTGGAGTAGCCAGTAGAGTATGCGCTCTCCGGCGAAGAAAGGCTGTGTAGTGGCGCACCAGCTACAGCCACACCTCCCGCCACTTGCTGGGCGCCATTCAAAGCATGTCCGTTACCAAAACGTCCACCACGCAAGCGGCTCCGCTGACAATGCATCGACGCGAGACCGCCAGAGTGACCACTCTGATGATTTGCGCCAAACTCGCCTGCGGCGCCGCCCATGGCACTAGCGCCGGGATGATGGTATTGTTGCGATATGTACTCAGCGCTGCCGCTCCGAATGTACGTCAACGATGCGTTCGCATTCAGACTGTCATTCGAATTGCTGCAGCTTTGAATTTTCGATGGCAACAGGCGGCCATAACGCGTGGAGGCATCATCTTGCGACCGACGATCGGCGTAGAGCGAGCGCACGGGCGTAAATGAAGTGAGCTGTTCGGATTTGGGGCGCTCGTGCATTAAGAAAGGATTAGTGTTATTGTAGCTGGAACTACAGTGCTCGGGGTGTCGTAGAATCGTACGAATTTCCTCGTAGTGTACAGTGTTCGGATCTTCTTCGAAATGTAGCAAATCGGTGGCACTAATATTTTTTGGCTCACAGGGTTGTGGCTTCGATAGTGAGCTATTATTATTGCTGCTACTGTGATGAGTATTGTTGTTATTGTGATTGCTGCTGGAGTTCATTGAAGGTTCTTTGGAGCCGGTAGACCATGACAACGACGAGATTGATGATGATGAACAATCTGCGGGATGTGGTTGTTGTTGCTGTTGCAGAGTATTTGGTTGCAACTGTGTCTGCTGCTGCTGGTGTGGTTGATGTTGTGGGTGCTGTAGTGGTTGCAAGTGATGACTGTACGTTGGTGTGTATGACTTTGCCTGCAATGAGCGATCATCACTTGAATTATCCTTGCTATTAGGCGCCGTATAAGGATGCTGCTGTTGATGCGGCTGTTGCTGGTGGCTGCAGTTGTAGTTGGAGTGATGTGATTGACTACGAACACGGTGTTGTGGCGCATACAGGAAATTGTCGGATTTTGGCGAAGTGACCGTCTCCTGATCCGGCGACTGCCAGCCGTAGCGACTCTGAGTCTTTAGAAGGAAGAAAAAAAAAACGAAAAAAAGGAAAGTAAAATAGAGCATAGTGCACTAATCAAACCAAAAAAATAAAAATAAATAAATATATGCGCTACCCAGACCCAATTAGCCAACCAACAGCACGGACGTCTAAGTGGGCCATTATCCCTCAACATTCTTTCAGCGACTTACATGGCCTTGAATAGGCGAGACTTCACGTCGTCTGACTGGACTCGAAATGACACTGCCACAGCCACTACTGCCGCCGCCGCTACCACCTCCGGCTCCATTGTGATGATTAGCACCGAATGAGGACATCGCGCCGGGCGCTACCATTACCGTTGTCATTGTCGGTGCCGCGGATGTGGCTGCGGACACAGACGAGTTGTTGGCAGTGATTGATGTTGACGTAGACGGCGCGCCATTGCCGTGCGCGTGATGAAGCGTAAAAATAGCGCTCGAATGGGCGCTGGATAACTTCTTGTTGCTGTTGCTGCTTTGATGCTGATATGCCTCGTGACTACAGCCAGCGGCATTGGCGGCACTGACAGTGCTGGAAATAAGGAAAATGCAGAAAAAACGAAAGGAATGACAGAAAATAAGTTTTTGTTAGCTGCGATGACAAAGTAAAAACTGGGAACTGATTCGGTTTGCATGCTGAATTTTTATTTTACCTATTTGCAGTTTTATTTTTGGCGCCCTTCTTTCGCGGGCGCCCAATGTGGTTCTCCATCCATGAACGTAATTTCGAGCCGAACATCGCGTCCGGTTTTTTATGTGGCTGCTATTTGTTCGATGAGACCTAATTTTTACTTTTGGGGTTTTTTTTTTGTTTACTTCTTTGCTTCTTGTAGAATACCAAACTCTTATCACTTAGTTATTGACTTCAGCATTGCTTAATTGTATATTTTCTGTTTTTTATTCCTGTATATGTTGACAACAATGGACGGATTTCGTCAAATATTGCACCAAAGAACTGAAGAAGAAAATTTAAAGAAATAGGCATGAAGGTACTCATTTTTTCATAATATAGGTTTCTGAGTCACATCTGGGCATAGGTACATAGTGTATACAGTGACTCAATCAAGTGACCACGTGTAGATTTTTTTGAATATTCATAATGTTTTTCCAGTTAAATTGGTTTGTTATTTTTAACCGACTCCCAAAAAACGAGGAGGTTATCAGTTCGTAGGAATATTTGTTTTTTTTTATGTATGTTACCGCATAACTTTGAAACACGTCAACCGATTTCGATAATTCTTTTTCCATCGGAAAAATAGTCCCATACTAATCTGGTTTAGATCCGATCATTGGATCATGAAAGATATATATACATATATATTTTTTTTTTAAAGCCGTTTTTTTGCTAAAAATTACTTGTTCTATAAAAATATTTTCCAAGCTTTAACCAAAACCATATACATAACAGTTTAAAACTTTATACAAAATTTAGGAAAATTCCACCAATTTTCATCAAAATTTTAACTTTTAAATCTGAATCTTTCGAACAGTTTTTGGTAAATATGCAATTTTTTAGCCTACACAGTTTTAGTCTAATGAAGTGCAGTTTCAAGCGGCTAAAAAACTACACTGATTTTTAATAATTTTTTATTGTCGGCGGATTTTTGCACTTTTTTTCCATATAAGCATGAATTTCTTATTGAATTAAGTGCGGAAGACGAGCGGTCTGCAAAATTCTTGAAAGAATCAACGCCAGTTTTCATAAATTGCCCTTGTTATACAAGGCAAGGAGGTATGCAAAGGCGGTCACAAAAGAAAAATTATTAAAAATCAATGCAATTTTTAAGCCGATTGAAACTTGCACTTCAACAGATAAATTGTATAAGCTCTAAAACTGCATACACAATAGTATGGAAATATTAATGAGAATTTTCAAAAATTTTGTATAAAGTTTGAAACTGATTTATATAGTTTTGGGCTCGGTCAAAATTTTTATAGAAAAAAAAGCTCGAAAAACATTACGAATATTTATAAAAATCAACACGTGGCCTTTTGTTTGAGTCACTGTATATAGTTTTCCTTACAGCTTGGACAATATCTTTGTTGAAAAATAACCAAACCAAATTTAACCCGAAAAAGATTATGAGTATTTAAAAAAAAGTCAACATGTTTGAGTCCACTGTACATTAGAGTGCCTCACCAAGAAAAAAAGGACTAGGTATATTTTGATGAAGTTTTTAAACATTATCTGAAGTGTTTTTTTGGAAAAAATATTTCTTTAAAGAAATTTTTTCATGAAAAACTAAATTTTTGGAGGTATTTTCAAATCGTTCCAACTAACATAAATCATAATATTTTTCTAATATATTTTGTAGGAAAGTCCCGTTTTTTGTATGGAGAGCGATGCGCTCTAATACACATACTTATATAATTGCTAAATATAAAAGTATCTATGTACCCTTGTGCTCAGCTGATTAAGTTAAGTGATATTTTGCCCCGTTTTGGCTATTTTTCTTTTGTCTTATGTCTATAATTTTATTATAAAATAAATTCACATTTCAAACTTCGTACAAAGTTTATAAAAATTCAACAAACATTACCAATTACACCCAAAAATTTTAAACTTGGCATTGAACATTTTCTCCCATTCGTCAATTACTTGTATATGGAGGAAAATGCCTAGCACCGTCAGTTAAAAAATATCAAAAATCAACGCAAATTTCTAGCGTTATAAAATTTGCACTTTAACCTTCTTCAATTTAAAACTGCATAGGTACTTAAAAGTTTTTTAAAAATTTTAAATAAAAAAGTTTAAAATTTTGTGGGTGTAATTGTTAAAATTTGTAGAATTTTTATAACATTTTATAATAAGTTTGAAATGTAGATTTATGTGTTGCGGGTTATGTTTTATAAGAAAATTATAAACATTAAATAAACAAAAGAAAAATAACCAAAACTGGTAAAAATGTCACTTAACTTAATCAGCTGACCACAAGTGTATGTCCAAATGCATAAATCTAAATATTATAAATAGAATATTCATTCAATATTGATGGCAGCTACATTCTCGTAAAAATTTAAATTACGTATCAAAATGGTTAAAAAATTTAATTTAATTTATTCATCTTTCAAAGTCTAAACATAATTTTTAAAAGGTTATTTTTCTTCTTTTAATCTTTACGAATTTCGGTAGTATTTCTACAGGCAAAAAATATAGTAGTGGAATTCGCGCTTCTGTGTATTCGTTGTATCTTGTGTAAGTATAACTGGATGAGCGTGGGATTGTTGTTGCAAGAAATAGTTTTTCGCAATTTCTGGCAAACGTGTAATTTTGAGTTGTGCCCCTTAGGAAAAAAGCATAGCATATGACGAAGGTAACTCCACCGGCTCACTGGAAAACCACCCATGTTACTGTCCAGCTTCCTCGTCCACGGGCGTTGTGTAAAATGTCACAAAATAGAGTTCATCTACAACTCCAAAACCAACAGCAATTGGGTGGGGAAAAACCAAGAACTAACTAACCATCTCATTGCAGACGAAGCGCTTCAGCTGTCTCGACCGACTCGACCCCAATTTTCTCAAAAAGATTTTCGACCAGTAAATTTAAGGGTTCCATAAGGCTACGGTTACTTTTGTTCTGACGATTTCTTCCGTTGTTACAGATATAATAAAATTGTCGATTAAACTACATATGTGAAGTTGCATGTTCCTGAAGGTTCTCATTAACAAATCATAACTGAAGAACAGCAATGTAATGTAGGAATGAACTGCATTATCTACCAAAAACCATAAATACCATAAATAAATAAAAATCCCATATACCACTTACATATATGGACATTAGGCTGGGTCGATTTTGTATGGGGGAAAATAAAAGGCATTTGACCGTATTGTAATAGTAATATTATGATGTCTTAGGTCTTAGCCAATTTTTATTGGCCACGAAAGATTAATTTAATACTTATCTTTAGCCCGCGCAATTGAACCAAAGTGTACGAATTTTGAAAATAAAACTTCTGCTGGTAATATCTATGTAATGCGTTAATTGTTATAAGCAGGACGGTATATTAAATTAAGCATTATTAAATTTAGTACCTCACGTTCATTTATCATTTTTCAATAAGTCTTAAAGTTTTTAAGATATTAAGATAAAACTTACAAAAACTATAATTTTCCCTCATGAATTTTCAATTCTTCATTACTTCAGCAACCAAGTAAAAAATACAAAAAGGTGAGACGATATTTATTTGCAAACGTTTTAATGTTCTCGGATGTTTATGTAATATTAAAAGGACCATGGACTTGGTCACGCCGAGTTGGTCAGTTTTCAAGATCCTGGTGAATGAAATCAAACATGTATTGTCAAAGATTAGGAATCGTTTGATACGTTAATAGTAGTTTCAAGCATATAATTATTTGCATACATTAACATAATACAATTACTGTGAGAAACGCCCATTTTAAGTCCATTTATGCCGTCTTGAAAATTGGTGCGGTTTATTAGTAAACGAACAATCACATTTTTCGCGGTTTCTAAATTTGCCGTTATATGAGAGTAGGAGACGTGCAATAAGTGTTTAGATATACATAAATATTTTAGTTAATTGCATTATGTGAAAAAGTCTCTAACATATCCTGGGAAATCCTTTTAAGGACTTTCCAATTGGACGATAGTGCTTTGCATTAAGCTCGAATGAAAAAAGTCTCTCCCTGGCACACTTTTCTGTAATCCGGCTGTTTTATCTCAACGTTTTTTATACAATTTGAGATACATTTTTTTTAGAAAAAAACTGGAGATCCACTTAAGTTTTTCGATATAACTTTGGTAAATGTTGCTCGATCGGTACGTAGTAATTACCAAATTGAAGGCGAGACTTACTGTTACTGATTTATGATAATAATATGAAGAAAATCGTTCAGATTATAAATAAATTATTTTAAATAAAAAAAATTTTGAACAATTTTTTGTTTAATTTTCCTATATTTGCAATTTTTATATTGTATGCATAAACATAAGTAAACCAATTAGTGTGTCTAGAAGTTGTGCCTGTTCAGTGTTTCCATACTAATTGCATAAACAAAATTTTTCCACGATGATGCAAAATAATGGATTTTCTATTAGAGCTACCGAAATTGTCCCTAAATTTGCAAAAAATCGCAAATTATAGCTAATATTAAAAAATGATTAGAATATTTAGAACCAGCGACCTAAACGCACGCCAGCAATATTAATATTGTTCTTTACATCTTTTGACTATAGGCCAGTGCAATTATCAAGGGAACAATTAAAATTTTCTTGAAAATAGATGAGTTTGAGATTAACGATAAGATAAAGGGCTGCGCGAAATGATACTTGACTTTATCTTTTGCGTTAAAGGATTCATTATCTAATAATATGCACCAAAATTTTTGGCTATACCCAGAATTTTTAACAAGAATTGGTCTTATTCGACTAGTGTGCTGTGGGTCACTTGGCAGTCGATGCGCGGGCTCTTACAATTAAAATAAAATACTAATATTTTGCAGGCTTGTTGTTGACTTCAAGATACAATATATTTTAACTATTACCAAGGGAGTTGGATAAAATTCGATTTTCGACCCGCCCTAATGGACATACTTCATTATGATATTTTAAAATAAACCCTTTATATCCTTAATGATAAATGGAAATTAACCAAATTCTGTATTTCTCTCCTGAAAATTCCTTAACGCAAATTCGAATGTTGTAATTGGAGATTTAAATGTCATTTATTCTGAGGAAAATGCCTAGCCTGCTTTCCCACGCATCCGCTATTACTCATTGGCCTGATTTTTTCCCATAAATGATTGATGTCTGTATAAATTATGCAATAAATCCTTCATGCAAAATTTATGTACAACCAAAACAGGCTGATAAAATGAATTTCAATTTCTTTACATTGTTTGCAAAAGTGTGTATGTATGTATGTGTATGTGTATGTATATACCCAGCAAACATTGAGGTTAGTTATCGATTAGAGACTGATTGGAGAACTA